TTGTTTTCTGCTGCTCCAGAGAATAGGACATGGAAGAATGGATGCAAGCTCCAGGAAAAGAGATTCCTGCTCAACATTAGGAGGCACCTTCTGATGGTAAGAGGTATTTGACAGTGGATGACGTTCCCTCAGAGAATGGTGGAGTCTCCTTCTTTGGAGGTCTTTAAACAGAGACTGGATGGCCATCTGTTGGGGATGCTTTGATTGAGAGTTCCTGCATGGCAGAATGGGGTTGGACTGGATGGCCCTTGGGGATCTCTTCCAACTCTATGATTCTATGATTCTAACTGGTTCCATGATTTTTCGCACAATATCAGCACTCATCCTTTGTTGACCCATTGCCCTACGATTATTATCATGCAAACTCGCATTAACAAGAGCAACCTGTTAAGGACCGCCCATATAGCTACATTCACATGATTGTGCAAGTGCAAATGCCTTTGGCACTACAGTCATGAGATGGCAAAGTCCACATTGTGAAAGTCAGCATGTCATTCCCTGTTCTCCTTGCTTCCGTTATGTCATGCAACTTCGTATAAAGAAGGACGCCTTCCCCCAAATGGGTGAGATTGTGCTATTTGTATTGATGCATATATTTTATTTAAGTCGAGCAGCGCGTAATTTCGAGAGCATGACAATTTGACACGATCTTTCCCATTTCTCTGTGGTTTTCTCAGATTCTCAGGGTGCATAGTGTACATTTAAAGCGACACATATGTAAGCCAACGTAAGGTTTCCCAAAACAGACTTTACTGGGTCCGTTGATGGAAGAGATGAAAGCGTGTTGCTATCTGCAGCATCGCCAATCTTAGAGCCTAAAACAACCACATGCAACTCCAAAATCACAAATCGCCAGAAATAAGAGAAGACAAAAGAATCTCACCGTTGTGAGTGTAATCCCATTGCTATTGATTTGGGCTAATATTGCCAAATAGGTGATAAGGAAAGATTCTTTTAATGTTATGTTAAAATGTTGCGATGGAAGATAAGAAAATGGACAGTTTTGCTATATAAGAAGACATACGAAGGGACATTTAGGAGATAGGGTACACTATGGAGAGACTAATCTTAATTTACAAACAAAATAGAATCCTAGGGTTGGAAGAGACCCCAAGGGCCATCCAGCCCAACCCCCCTGCCATGCAGGAATTCCCAATCAAAGCATCCCCAACAGATGGCCATCCAGCCTCTGCTTAAGGACCTCCAAGGAAGGAGACTCCACCAAAATCTCCGAGGGAGATTTCCATTGTCGAACAGCATTGTAAGTAAATATGGAAGGATTTAAGTTGACAAAAGGCAGGTTATAGGAAAGTAAGGGGGAGTAGAAGTCAAGGGGGTTGGAGTATGATTATAGTAGTAGATAGAAATTAATAGTAGATAGTGGTAGTAATAAAATAATTATGTTTGTGAGTAGATAGGCGAACGTAAGTGTATAATATTATATGTGGAAATTAATAAAAATTATTTTCTAAAAAACCAAGGACTATTGTGCAAATAACTGGTAATACAGCATGAACTGTTTTAATAATATTATTGATTAAGTTGTCATCCTGTTACAGATATTGCTTGCATTTGTGCAAAAAGCACCCTCGTGCAGTAATCTCCTTTATCTCACAAGGCTTGAAAAGTGGGATTTGAGGAGGAAAGTAGCTTCTTTGGGGGTACCTTATCATATAACGCTGTATCTGTCCAGTAGTTGGTCTGCAATTCCTGGAGTGCTCCTTGTCATTGATGGGCAAAACCCGCCATTGCCTCTCTTTCAGCTCTTTGATTCTATGTTTCTATGATTCTACCCCCTGAGATACTGAAAGAGTACAATCATATCACCCCTCCTCTAGCCCTGTCCCAATGGCACCAATGGCTTTGAGCAGTGGCAGCTGGGGGCTTCTATGTCTGTGGGACAAGGGAATCTGCTCTGGGTTTTACTCCGAACTGGAAGGAATGCTGCTAAACCATACCTCGGATCCTTCAGACTAAAAGCAGAATGGATTCATCCCTACCACTGACGTGGATGCCACCGGTTGGCACATAAAATAAGACCATCATTTGTGGTCTCTTTGGAATGATAAAATGAGCCAGCGTGGCGTAATGGCTTGAATGTTGGAATGGGATTCTGGGAGACTGGGGTTTGACATCCCTGCTCAACCATGGAAACCCACTTGTGCCTTCCTCTCTGTATTCCCCCTTGAGATGGCCTTGGGCAAACCACTCTCTCTCAGCTTTAGAGGGAGGAAAGGGCAAACCTCCTCTGGAGAAGTCTTGCCCCAAAATCCCAGGACAGGGTTGTCATATTGGAGTCATAGAATCAAAGAATAGAACCATAGAATCATAGAGTTGGAAGAGACCCCAAGGGCCATCCAATCCAACCCCCCCTTCTGCCATGCAGGAACTCCCACTCAAAGCATCCCCAACAGATGGCCATCCAGCCTCTGTTTAAAGACCTCCAGAGGAGATGCCATCACCCTCCAAGGGAGTATCTTCCACTGTCAAGCTGCTCTTACTGTCAGGAAATTCTTCCTAATGTTGAGGTGGAAACTCTTTTCCTGGAGCTTGCATCCATTGTTCCTGGTCCTATTCTCTGGAGCAGCAGAAAACAAGCTTGCTCATCTTCAGCATGACATCCCTTCAAATATCTGAACAGGGCTATCCTATCCAACCCATTGCCATGCAGGAACTTAAAATCAAAGCATCCCTGACAGATGGCCATCCAGCTTCTGTTTAAAGACCTCCAAAGAAGGAGACTCCATCACCCTCCAAGGCGGCATCTTCCATTGCCAAAAAGATTTTACTGTCAGGAGGTTCTTCCTAATGTTGAGGTGGAATCTCTTTTCCTGGAGCTTGCATCCGTTGCTCTGAGTCCTATTCTCTGGAGTAGCAGAAAACAAGCTTGCTCCCTCCTCAATATGAGTCCACATGATGTAGTGGTTTGAGTGTTGAATTAGGACACTGGGAGTCTAGGTTTTGAATCCCCACTCAGCCATGGAAACCTACTGGCAAGTCACACTCTCTCAGCCTCCGAGAAAGGCAAAGGCAAACCCCCTCGGAACGAGGTCTGCCAAAGAAATCCTGTGATAGGCCTTAGGGTCACCATAAGCCAGAAATGTTTTGAAAGCACACTACAACAACAACAGCGATGATTGTAGTGTGTGTGCAGGGCAGACTTGTTGGGCCTTAGCTTGTGAATGGTACATATTCTTGCACTCATGGTCTTTTTCCATTACCCTTCTCTTCCCTTGAGTCATTCTGCAGCTGCCAGGATTGAATTATAAGCGTCAAATTCACACCCAAGTGTGAAGCCTGTTTACACGGAGGTGCATGTCCTTCAAATTAATGCTGCCTTTCTTGCAAAGGCCAACAATTATATGGCTGATTAATCCAGCTCTCCCTTCACAATCACTTGTGTCAAATGAGCGACCATACTAACAGGGATGTGGCCAGTGAACTTTAGCCTTTGTGCAGATTAGGGCTCAATGCAAGACAGGAATCATAGAACCATAGAACCATAGAGTTGGAAGATAATAAAATAATAATAATAAATTTTTATTTGTAGCCCACCCCTCTGCGGAGCAATCGGGGCGGGGGACAACAGCATTTAAAACAGAACAAAATTAAAACATTCTCTCTCCCCAATCCCTACCTCCCTCCACCCAACCCCTTAAAATAAGATTAAACCAAAGAGAATTAAAATACAATATAATAAATTAAAATAAATAACCCCAAGGGCCATCCAGTCCAACCCCAATCTGCCATGCAGGAACTCAAAATCAAAGCATCCCCGACAGATGGCCATCCAACCTCTGTTTAAAGACCTCCAAAGAAGGAAGGCTAACTCTGGTGGATCAGGGGACCAAAGACCCCTTTAACTGGTAGATGCCAGTGTTCAGGAGCACCACGGACTCAGAGCTTCTAAAAATTAGAATAACAGAATCATAACTTGGAATCTGTATTAAAAGAATGGAGGGTGAATATATTATCAAAATATGCAGACAAGGAATTAAAACCTCGTCTGGTTAACTGCTCATGCCTGGGCCCATAACCTGTTGGGAAATGTGTGAGACAGCGCTGAATTCCTCCATGAAACTGACAAGGCAGAAGCTGAACAACAGCCAGTCCCAGTACCATGCTACATACACACAGTCTAGTAGAGAAAAATAAGCCTGGTCTGCTTGTAAAAGAAATAAAATCACTTTACTTAGTAATCCTTGAGCATAGTC